CATCTCTCCCCCACCTTGTCTATTCAGAAAATACGTGTGAATAACTTCCAATTTAGCAATCTCCTATTTCCCATTGATTATATGAGACTAGATATGTAAAAACGGCTCTGAGAAGCATCATACAGTCCAATAAAAATAGTGACTTCTCCTGTGTATTGTCCCGAAAAATTAGGTAACCTCATTTTTGTGTGGTTTGATTTACTTCAGAAAATGATTTTGCAAAAATGTTTTGTGTTTGAATCATATTTCAGCTGCTTTCCCCTACCTTCCTTTGACTCAGTCTCTTTCCTCTATCCTGGTTAACTAGAACTGTGACTAAAGTGGGTTAACCACTTGCTTATTCTTTTAATCACATTAAAGTATTTGTAGAACCATAGGTTGTCATAGCCTTTCTCCTAGACATTTTAGGAAATTCTAGGACCTTTAAACTCTACATCAATCCTTGCCAAAGAGTCAAGTTTTTTCTTAAGGATTACATTTATTTAGGGAAATTTAATAGGTATGACCATTTTCTCCTTTCCCTTTCTTACAGGAAGAAACTCATTCTTAGTAAACCTGTCATTTCTCTACCTTACACACTTTTTGTTTTGCAATCCTAAATGCTCTGGCAGATGGATATTGTCTCATAAAACAATGATATAGTCACATGAGAAAATTTAGGGTTACTTCTTGAAAGGTGTTAAAGAGGTATTGAGTATAATAACCCCATACAGGTTGTAAAGGATCAGGAAGTCACCATGTATATCACTAATTAGCTGCAGAGGTGTTATAATACTACTACCACTAATAAAATAATGCTAGCTAGCATTTTTGAGCCTATAATATAAGAACAACAATAACATTTATTGTTTACTTACTTTGTTCTAGAGGTGGTGCTAAGCAGTTTGCTTGAATTATCCAATAAGTCTTGACTAAGTCACCCCTTAATGACACCAGAATCTTTCATTATTTGGCAACTCAGGATCACAGCCTGCAAAGCCAGGCTTTAACTCCATTCTGTACCTTTGTACCAACAGTTCTCAAAGATTTAGCCTCAAAACCCTTTTACACACTTAAAAATTAGGATTGAAGGAGTTTTTATTTATGTAAGTTATACCTATTGATATGTCTGTATTAGATATTAAAACAGAAATTTAAACAACTCATATGTTAATTACATTATATGTTAATAACATTTTTATGAAACACAACTGAATTTTACAAAACAAACAAAAAATTAGCAGGAAGAATGACATTGTTGTCTTTTTTTTTTTTTTTCCAAATATCTTCGATGTCTGGCTTAATAGAAGGCAGCTGGATTCTCATATCTATCTGCTTCTGCATTCAATCTGTTGCAATTTGTTGTCTTGGTTAAAGCATATGAAGAAAAACCAGCCTCATACAGATATGTAATTGGACATGGGAAGATTATTTTAATAGCCTTTCCATGAAATTTTGTTATTCTTTTTTTTGATACTACCCCAAACTCTACAAGTAGTAGTTTCAACTTAAAGGTTAGGTGCAATGTGAAATCTGAAACCATATCAATGAATCAATCTTTCCTACTCTGTACACTAAAAATGGTAAGTGAAAAGGCACTCTGAGAACCTCTGGTATAAGTCTAGGAAGGTAAGAAACAGTCCAACCAGCTCAAGACCATGAGTAGACATATTTATGCCTTATTTCAATAATTGTCTTTCAAGCCTGAGAAAGAAAAGAGACCAATGATTATTTCCTCCCAATCCTGCCAAGATATAGACAGGATGGAGACAATGTCTCTAAAGTAATTGAGAGCTCTGGCATTAAATAAACATGAAGCTGTGATCCTAAAGTTAAGTATGCTATTGTTCCCCTTGAATAAATTGAAATAAGAAACGAATCGAGATGGTAGATGCTTTCTTAGAGTGGCATGATAAAGTACCACTAATCATACTCAAAGCCTTTGAAATAAGCCAGTATTAATAATGCTAAAATTGTTGAGTGTCCAATGCATTGCTAATTTTATATCTTGAAATAAAAATTTTCACCCTGAACATTCTGTATAAAGGAAATTGCTATCCATTTAACTCAGGAGGACTTGAAGATATTAATGTTTTTAAAAAGGAAGAAACAACACTTTGGTCACTTAGATCACAAAGCCTTATTTATTTATGTGTGACTTATGAAACTGCATGCTTCAACTTTTTATAAACTGAGCACTAACCTAAATAAGAAATACATTTTTGCAACATTTACTCTTTTTTCTTCTCTTTTATTAGTATGCTTTAATGGTGCTTCTATTTGCTTTGCTAAGAGTGAAATCATTTTATTTCTACTTGAAGATTTGCAAGAGTCTTGTCTACCTGTAAACTTTCCACCTATTAACTTGCATTATATTTTCATGACAGTAAGTTGTTACTAATGATACACATGAACTTTAATACAGCTATTTTCTTGAGGGTGGAGAGGGAATATTTATATATTTATATAAATCATTTTATTGGGAGAAATGTCTTACTTGTAAGTAAGTATATTTCTTATGTTTTTTGTTTAAAATAACAAGTTAAATTTTTTTAACAAGAAATAGAATGGTCATCATTGAGTTTTCTGAATATAGTTGATTTTCACTTTAGATGATTAAGAGATTGATCCAAAATTATTTGTTCAGATTTTCCTCTCCATTATATGTAAAGGTATGGAGACAGGTAGAACAGAGTTATAGAAATTTCACAAACAATAAACTTAAAGCATTCATTCCCCTACACTTTTTATTTTCTTAAAGCAGTACCATGAGCGTAAGAGCTAGAGATAATCCATTTCAGTTATTTATCACTGTTCAGCACATTTTGCGGTGCTGATATCCTTTTGTTCCCTGCCCAACACCAAGGCTTTATACAGCATATTTTAAAACATCATTATTGCAGAAATATTTCATGACACTCTAACACTTCTCATCAAACATCCTCTCTGTATCTTCCTGCTCAGCTCCGAAAAACAAATGTTGAAATATAGCTACCTTAGAAAAAAATCAAATATATCAAACAACATTAGCTACTGCTCCAGAAATAATCCAATGGGGGGAAACAAATGAACAAACAAATCCCAGAAAACACGGGAACAGAGGCATTATGTTTTTGTTTTGTTTTTCTTTGCTTTAAAACTTCGTTATAGATTTCAAGAAGTTGACTTTTACATTTGAGCTCACGTTGTTAAGAAGAAAATAAAACTTTATAGTTTATATGTGAACACTGGTGTCGGGTGTTTTCTGATGCCAAATACCTGGTGTCTTTTCCAACACCAGTTCTCCAACTCTGATTCTCTGACACCAACTGCATGTCCTACAATTCAATCCTATTGGGACACTAACTACACAAGGTTAGCATCAGATTCCATAGGTTTAAGGGTTCAGTCCCGTAAGACTGCCCTCACTTCAGACCCCAATTACAAGTACCACCCACCTCACCCCCTCCCTCTTACCTGGACTTACGTCTGGCTTGGCTACAGATTCCAGGGTACTCACAGCCACCCTCTGCCACTCCCACTCAAGTTTGATAATTTGCTACAGTGACTCACAGAACTCAGGAAAAGACCATACTTACCATTACAGTTTGTTATAAAAGATTAAAATGAGCAGCCAAATGGAGAGGTACAAAGGGTGAAGTCAAAAGTGTCCTGAGGGCAGGAGCCTCTGTCCGCATGGAGTTGGGGGGCACCACCCTGCCAGCAAATGGATGTGTTCATCAGCTCAGAAGCTCTCTAGTCCCCACTGCTTTGGAAGTTTTATGAAAGTTCCATTATGTAGGCGTGATTGATTAAAGCATTGGTCATTGGTGATCAAACTCAATCTCCATCTCCCTCTCTGGAGATGGTGAGAGGAGGGGAAAGGTTGAAAGTTCCAACCTGCTTATCACAGCCCCGACCCTGAAGCTGTCTAGGGGCCCACCATAGTCACCCCATTAGCATAAACTCAGATATGTTTGAAAGGGGCTCGTTAAGAGTAACAAAGCATGCTCTTGTTACTCTTATTACTCAGGAAATTCCAAAGGTTTTAGGAACCAGGAACAAGACCAAATATATATTTTTTATTATACTACAACTGGGTTTCCTCCAGGTGGTAGAGAAGAGATTTTGAGGCTGGGCAAGAAGAGATTTTTTGCTTTCCATCTGAACATTACCGAATCTCTTCCCTAGCCACACCCACTGTATCAGTTATTGATTGCTGCCTACCATACAAGCCCCCCAAATGGGAGTGGCTTAAAACAACAATCCTCTCGCACTTCTGGAGGAACAAGAATTTGAGCATGGCTCAGCTGGGTACCTCTGTCTCAATGTCTCCCATGAGGATGCAGTCAGGCTGTCAGCCAGGGCTGTGATCTCATCTGAAGACTCTACTGGGGTGGAGCATCTGCTCCCAAGTTCACACATGTGGCTCTTGGCAGACCTTGGTCCTCACCATGGGGTGGGGACCTCTCCATAGGGCTGCTCATGGCAGCTTGTTTTCCAGAAAACAAGTTGATTCAAGTGAGAAAGAACAAGGAAGAGTCCCCAGGACAGAAGCCACCGTCTTTTTATAACTTAGTCTCAGAAGTGATATCCCATTACTTCTGCCATATTCTGTTCATTAGATATGAGTCAGTAAATCCAGTGCACACTCAAGCAGAGGGGTTATGCAAAGGCATTGAATACCAAGAGGTGGGATCATTGAGGGCCATCTTAGACGCTACCTACCACATCCACCCTAACATAATGAATCTTGACTTGGTAAATGATAAGAAGCACTGGACAACAGATGAGAAAGGAAATTGTAAAGACATTTGTCTGGTTTCTTTGTCACTTTTACTTTCTCAAGCTCCTCCAAAGCTTTGCTTAAAGTACTGTGGCTGATCAAAGCCAGTTCTGATTAATTTTATAGTTAGTAGCTGGATCTCAGCAAGAAAGCTATATATAATCAAAGGAGTAAAATCCCAGTAGAAGGAAATCAGTTTAACTTTACATATTTACTGTCAAATATGTAATCATCTCATATGCCCATTTTTTTAAAGGGAGAACCAGGTTTCATTGGTCCTCAAGGAGAACCAGGCTTACCAGGGTTACCAGGAACAAAGGTAAACGTAGTGTTTTTCCCTTTCTTCCTTTCTGAAATTTTTGGTCATATATTTTTAGTCCATTATGTTACTTAGGTGACCAGATATGTTTGCCTAATGGAGAACTAAAGCAGCTTAGCACCTATTCCTAACACTTCTAATGGGAATACCATGCTAAATAGAATAATAGGAAGTTAATTGCAGAAAGCCTTAGGCAAAACAACAGTATGGTGGAGTACATTCATTGTTCCAGTTGTCCCCCAAATTGTACCTAAATTGATACGATGCTATTAGTCTCCTGGCCATATGGAAAAGTGAGGGAATTCTGAGGAGGAGAGGTAGAACTCATTAACTCCTGCCCCTCGTTACCCATTTTAAGACATACGCATGAATCAAACATTATTACTATTCCCCCATCACTCCCTAGATTGCAAAGGCAAGTACTGACGTCATATAGTTTCCTAAGTGTCTCATCCCAAAAGGATCCATCCTGAAAAACGTCTGCAGAAAGATTCTGTAATGAAAACCATCTCGTGATCTTCCACTTGGCAACCTGAGAGAGGGCCCGAAAAGCAAAATCTATATGCTGCCATATAAAAAACTATGTTGCTGTGGATACAGTCAGAGCCATAGTTCCCTTTTTATCTACCCAGTAAGACATAAAAAGGTACAGCTCTGAGGATGGAACTTTATTCATGACAGACTCATGAATCAAAGAAGGAGCAAAATTAGATCACACTACTTTCTTTTATTTTTAAACCATAGCAGTTTTGCCTCAATGTGTATTGCATTCACCAGAAATAAGCCAGGATGATTTCCAAGAGCTCGAGAAATATGTTCATGGTTTGTTCTGACAGAGGAGTCCTCATTTCCGCTGGTCAAGAGAAAATAACTCTAATCCTAGTAAATGGAAACTATGTGTGGCCTAAAGGGAGACTAAAACTCTGTCAAATTTATGTAAAATTGCTGTTTGCTCAGCAATTTCTTTTTCACATAATGAGCTTTCAAGCTTATTAACAAAATATGAGGAAAGCCTGTTTTAGCCTGAACAGATTTACACAAGAAATGCACTTTCTGGAATAAAAAGAGCTAGAACAAAAGAATAACGAGCATTCTGTGTTCATGTCAGAACTCTTGTATTTATTCAGCCTTGCAGCCTCAGAACCAGGTAGAGAAAGAGGATTGCTTTGTGGATAAGCACAAAGAAACGGGAAACCTGGTCAGTGCTGGAGAGGACCAGGCGTGAACGTGATCTCTAAATGTTTGTGGCATTTTGTTTGCTCAACAAGGGAAAATAGGAGAAACACAGACTGTGGAGTGTAGAGTTCATCCCTAAATATATTTTCTCTTGTTCACTTATTTTAAACTCTTCCACAGTCAAAAAAAATCCAGATGTAGAGCCATAAAATCAACATTAATTACTGTTCATGAAGAAACCAGCCTGATTTTACAGAACAGATACTTTTATAACAGATACTACTCTGAACTCCCAATAAAAGTAAAGACTGTACTGTAACTGTTTTGTATTTCCACAAGAGGGATATGAATAAGAAATTCATTTAACAATGTTCCAAAGTTAATTTTCAGCTGAATTACCTATCTAACATGAAATTGGTATCATAATGGAAAAGTCATGATTATTTAAAAATCTCTTTCAGCCAAACACTAGTCTTTTACTGGTTGTGTAGGCAGTCTGGATTGGTACCAGTAAATTCAGATTTTCAAAATAAACTAAGTCCTCATATTTTATCCCCAACACAGTGAAGAGAGATCATAATGAAGAAATACGTATAATTGCATCTAAAAATCTGTTTTATGTACTGCTGTATTCTCGGCATCTGTATAGTGCCTAAGAGAAACCTGCGTCAGTCTAAAGAAATAGGACTTTATTATGAATAATTTAGAATACTTTGTATAATATTGTTTATTCATTAATTCAACACATTTTTTTCCAGACATTTTTCTAGTATTTGAGAATGGGGAATAAATGCAACAGAAACAGTCTCTACTCTACTGAAGCTTACACTGTAATATGTGTAAGAAAGGGGTGGAAGAAAAGAAAAAAGTACACAAATATATAATGTAATTCTAGAGAGAGACTAATAAGCAACTGATTAGGGGCATGATGATAATAAGTGATTCTAGGTAAACATATATAGACTCCACTACTCTGGTAAATACTACAGAGAAATGATTTTCTAAAATTTTTGTTTTTCTCTAAAATAAGATTATAGTTACCATTTTAGAATTCTTCTGTAAAATATTAAGAGCAACACCAAACATGGCATATACATATTTAAATAAAAATTCCATATACCAGCAAAGGTGCTTTAGTCTCTAATCCCTGGAAAATCCCTTCTGGAGCACCTTTTCCATCTCCTGCATCCAATCAAGTCCCTGGTCTTTCTCCCAACCTCTCCATTGTCCCACTCGCTTTTGGTTCATGCTGAGAAGCCTACTGAGTCTTTATCCTGGCCCTAATCTATCCCACCTCCCCTGCAAAACCACAAAGGTTTCCCACAGTGGGGATGATACAGACAAAGATCTTGGAATTTAAAGCCCTACATCACCCATAACAGATCCAAATCCTACTTTCTTTTCCTTTCCAAGATGAATCAGTCCTTCAGTGAGAAGGGTGCCTCCCTCATCCATAAACATACCATCACCAGAAATCAAATCTTGTTTGATTGTTGAAATTCTACCCATCGTGCAGGAAGCTGAACACTCTCAAGTCTGTGTTCAGGGAGTGTAAAACAGCACCATCTTCCTGAAGGGTGATTAGCTAGCTTTTAAAATGTGTATACTTTTTGACACAGCCATTTGTCTAGTAGGAATTTATCCTAAGAATATGACCAGAGATGTGCAAAAGATTTACATACAAAAACATGTATGCAAAAATTGAAGACTGACTACAGTCAGTTCTATATTACAGCTTTCCCACGTTAAAGGCTTTGGGCAAGTTATTTAACCTCTCTGAGCTTCAGTTTCCTCATCTGTAGACTATGGATACTAACACCTTTCTCATTTGTCCTGAGGATTAGATAGGATAATGCATGTAAAGTGTTGTGTGCAGTTCCTGCACTCATCAATAGCACAGTTATAAACAGTGATAATTATAATATACACCCTACCTCATCCTTCAGGATATGACGCAAGTCTAACCAAAAGGAAGTCAATCTGGACCATTGAAAACCCTGTGGAGTTTCTTCTTCTCTCACATATGGCCTTACATTACTCCTTAACTCTTAACTATTTTGTTCATGTGGATCTTATCTAACTAGAGCACTAGCTCCTGTGGGCGGTGACCATGCTCATCCTTCCCAGAGCTGTAAATCTAGTAAAAGCTGTAACACCTATGGATCTTGTACAACGCCAAGTACTTTCCATTTCTAGGTTATGAAACCAGTACTCTAATTTTCTCCATTTTACAGAGGAAACTGAGGCTTTCAGAACTTAACTAACTTTCCCCAAAACACAAAACTGGTAAGTATTCCAGAGCCAGGAGTAAAGCCCAGAATATCAAATTACAAAACTTGGCACTTAGCCATTTTGCCCTGCTTCGGAAGATTTTAAAAAGTTGCTGCAGACTGAAAACTATGTCCATGCCTGTTGTGAGGTATTAATGATGGCCCTTATCAATTCCCTTTAAAGGTCTTTCTGGGACTTCCCTAGCAGTCCAGTAGTTAAGACTCCGAGCTTCCAATGCAGGGAGCACTGATTCGATCCCTGGTCGGGGAACTATGATCCCACATAGGGTGTGGCCAAAAAAACAAAAAAAGAGTCTTTCCATTTACCAACATAGGCATCTGACAGGCATTTACCAAACCATTTCCTTGTCTATAAAACGGGAATGAAAATGCAAACGTTGAATTTTTTTTTTTTTTTTTTCGGTACGCGGGCCTCTCACTGCTGTGGCCTCTCCCGTTGCGGAGCACAGGCTCCGGACGCGTAGGCTCAAGCGGCCATGGCTCACGGGCCTAACTGCTCCGTGGCATGTGGGATCTTCCCGGACCGGGGAACGAACCTGTGTCCCCTGCATCGGCAGGTGGACTCTCAACCACTGCGCCACCAGGGAAGCCCTCTACCCTCCTACTTTTAACACTGCGCCACCAGGGAAGCCCTGAATAATTATTTTGATTATTAAATGAGCTAATCCATGTTGAGGTTAATACAATGCCGAGTATGTGGTAAATAAATAGTAACTTTCTGCTTTCTTTGATTTTATTCAACTCACTCATTAACCTACAGGGACTAGCTGGGGGTGATAGGGGGCGCCATTTACCTATTTTGCGATTTGTGACAGGGCGACCGTGGGGAGGCAGGGCATCCTGGAAGAGGGGATCGAGGGGAGCCTGGAGCCCCTGGACCAAAGGTCAGTTATTCTCACACTGGAAAACAACATTCTCTGGTTTGGAAATGTGTGCCGCCACTTACTTTAGAACATGCAACTAAAATAAAATTATTCAAGGGGTATTAAAACAGCCAAAATCACAAATAATTCATTGAAATTCACACCGATTCGTTATTTTCTAAAAAGGGTTTTACAATTCAACTTTTCCAGTCCACAAATTAATAACACATCCAAATATAAATCGGGGGGTACTGTCACACTAATACCTTACCACTCGATGTATATTAAAACCTACTGAGGAAAATGTGGATCTGTGCTGTGTTAGTTTTTATGGTAATTTGATGATGTGTAACACCTTGAAAATATGAGAGCTAAGGATTTATTTGACTGTTCAATCTATTCCTCTAAACTTCCTGCAAACTAGTATGGTAACACTTTATTTTAATAACCCATCCTAGAGACACAGGAAATGATTTACTCTTTGATGAATAGGAAATTTATGCAAACACTGGTGAGACTAATGAGAATTAGTCACAGAACTCTTCCCATCCGCTGATGGGTGGGCAGTCTTCAGAATTATAATGGCATGAAGGTTGGTGGAGAGACCAGGGAGTGAACTAATGATACGGTGATAATGCCTATGTTCAGGGTTGTAACAGCCTACATTATATGGAATCATATATTGAGGCAGTTAAAATAAAGTGTTTCCATTTTTCTGTATTATTCTGAGTCACTGCTAATTTCTTTTTTTTCTGTTCTTATCTCCCTCTGTCATGTTCTCTTTTTCATCTTCATATTCTTCTATAATAGGGGAAACAAGGTGAATCAGGAACTAGAGGCCCAAAGGGGTCAAAGGTCAGTAACTGGGTAACCATTTTAATGTAACATGAGGCCGTCATGTAACATGTGCCTCTTCCACAGAGAATCATGTTTAGATTAAACTCTTTCACACGCTGGGGTTGCAGTAATTTCATCCCTATGGTGATATCTCAGAACAGTTGGTTTGTTTCATCTTGTTTGTTTTTGTGTTCTGTGCTTCAGGCCATTCTTTATGAGAAATTGTATTTCCTGTTTCATATGTATAGCTTATTTGGAAAAAATTAAGTACTTTACTTAAATTATATACAGTATAATCTTATTTTTTATTTCCTGGCTATCTTTGTGATACATGTTCAGATTTTAAGTCAGTTGACTCCCTTCATTCCATTAAAATTTCACCACTAATTGGAATTCTCTCCTTTATCATGCTCTTTATATAGTACCTGCAATAATCTATATACTACTAGCAGAATCATGTTATGAATCATGCTAATAATGTGGAAAATGGGGAAAACAAATTAATAATTCCCCATTCATGGTGAAATTTTATTATTATGGTCAATGTTATTAGCATAATGTGGATAGAAAAATTATAATCCCTTTTCCTACTCATCTTCATTGGTCCTTATCCAGTTTATAAGAATATGTAGAAAGACATATAAAAATGCTTTGAATTCTATTTAGGAAAAGGGCCCTGTGAACTTTAGGCTATTTTAAAGAACCTTCAAATCTACCCAGGTTCAAATCTCTCCTCCAAAATTTCTGTTTAGACTTCTGAAAATTTTGAGTGTTCTCAGTGATGCACTTGCAGTTTGAGGTTTAGATGATTCCTGGTGTCTCTTGGCGGGGATGGGAGGTAGTCATCACACCATAAATGGACGTTTAGAGACTTTTCATGTTGCATTGAAAAAGAGAAAGCTGTGTTTGCCCAGATCTTGACCTTCAGCCCCGCCAACCTGGTCCAGCTAGCTGCTGTCCACTTCAGCACTTTCTGAGGGCTAAGAGACCTATGCCTATAGAAAGCTTTCCCTTAGATCTTCATCATCAGAGGGAGGCCCAGCTGGTGACCTTTCCCTCCTAAATCTCCCTAGAATGACTTCTCAGAAAACAGACAACCCAATTAATCGGTTGCCTCTTTTCCTCCTTGCCCCAAATCTCTTCATATACAGGCAAGAACGTAGCTCAGTCTGAGAGGTAAAATCTTACTTTGGGTGTCATAGAAACCACTTGCTTTGCTTTTCAAGATCCCTAGGAAGCAAGTTACCATATGTATTGTTGTTTCAAGATACTCTGTCATCTGAAGGGGGAAGTGTAATTCACTTCGGGGGGCACCTTAAAGAAGCATGTGCCATGTCAGTGGTTATCGTATTTCTAGTTGTTATTTTCCACTTCAGAAGTTCATATTAAAAGTGTTGCTGTATGGTGTTAAATACATCCTTAGATTTGAGATATTTCTGGACTGTTGGCCTCACTACTAACTCGGTTTTCTTCTCTTTTCACTGGGGAAAGGGTGACCGTGGAGACAAAGGGGACCCTGGAGCCCTGGGACCAAGGGTGAGTGTGTCTCATCTGCTCTTTTGGCCTCCGGCAAGCCTAGATTTGAAGTGTGTGTCTGTGTGGCTTTTCACAAGGCACTTGGACTAATAATACCCAACAATAGCGCTGGACGTAGCCTACTGTGACTATTCCTGCTACTCCCCGCTTTCTTCTTATTTTTCATTGTAGTCACCAGGAGCACTGAGTATGTAGACTGGAACATGTAAGATAAGCCCATAAGGAGCAGGTCTAAAGAACTCTTTCATCTACTTCCCCTCTGCCAAATAAGCAATAGCAAGCTCATAGCCATCCACCTAATAGAACTTTCCACTCTTCAATTAACTCAACTAAAAAGAAAGCAATAGTCCACATTTTCAGAACCTTTTTAAAGCACAGGCAGGGAATTAGGACATGACTAATGGAAATTCAGTGGCAGAGCTACTGAGTAGGATAGACTTCTTAAAAATATTTGTTCCCTCCTTATAGGTACTGTTCAAATATATATATATTTGTTCCCTATTTGCTTCCATTGTAATGGAATTCTATCCCTGTGAGGAAAGCCAAGCATTTCCTACAGTACAGTGTTCCATCTTCTTAAAAAATGAAGAAGCAATCTATGAGGTGTAGATGAGGAGAGAGAGGTCAGGAGTTGCTTTAATAAATATAGATAAAGCCAACAAAATTTTGCAAGTCAAATCAGATTAGCCTACGCATTGTAATTTTTAGGAAACAGCTTTTGAGATTGAATTGTATTTCTTTTTTATCCAATGTAATATATTTAACCTACCACAGACAGGAAGTTAGAAGTAGTTTGCCTCCTTTGAAATAAGGACAAACTTTGAACATGATTATTTATTGTAAAGTACATTTGGGCCTTAGTCGGGAATCGATGGTCAGAGACAGCTGTTTGCTGCTATTTCTGTTTTCGCCGCAGTCCCTTCTTCATCCTAGCCTAACCCCCGTGATGTTCTCTTGGCTGATTTTTTCATAGGGTCCACCTGGTCAAAAGGGAGATCAAGGAGCCACCGAGATCATAGACTACAATGGCAACCTCCACGAAGCCTTGCAGGCAAGTGACTGCTCCCTGCCCTGACACAGACAATGACACTGATGAGACCCTTGTAATGCGTGTAACTATCAGGTTCCACCCCCCCTCAGATCTCAGAGGGCTCCACTGCTCAAAGCACACCTCCTCCCTGATCTCCTGAACCCATCTTCTGCCTGCCCCAGTTTATCCTCTTTATTTCCTAGCATTTTTCAATCTTTCCTTCTCTTTCCC